CGTGAGAAGTTTTCCCTGAGAGGGAGGGCCAGTGGGATCAGTGGGTCCCGGTGAGAAGTTTTCCCTGAGAGGGAGGGCCAGTGGGATCAGTGGGTCCCGGTGAGAAGTTTTCCCTGAAAGGGACTTCCAGTCGGATCGACCAGCTTCGCCGGCCGATCCTTCTTCCGCGTGTGAAGTGGGTCCCGGTGAGAGGTTATCCCTGAGAGGGAGGGCCAGTGGGATCAGTGGGTCCCGGTGAGAAGTTTTCCCTGAGAGGGAGGGCCAGTGGGATCGGTGGGACCCGGTGAGAAGTTTTCCATGTGAAGGGAGGGCAGTCGGATTCGGCTCAGCACTTTGCGACCGATCCTCGCTTCGCGCGTGCGAATGGTGACGCGTGAGAAGTTTTCCAATGAGGGAGGGGCCAGTTTGGATCGTGGGACCCGGTGAGAAGTTTTCCCTGAGAGGGAGGGCCAGTGGGATCGGTGGGTCCCGGTGAGAAGTTTTCCCTGAGAGGGAGGGCCAGTGGGATCAGTGGGTCCCGGTGAGAAGTTTTCCCTGAGAGGGAGGGCCAGTGGGATCAGTGGGACCCGGTGAGAAGTTTTCCCTGAGAGGGAGGGCCAGTGGCTCGGTGGGACGGTGAGAAGTTTTCCATGTGAAGGAGGGCCAGTCGGATCGGCCAGCTTTGCCGACCGATCCTCCTTCCGCGCGTGAAGTGGGTCCCGGTGAGAAGTTTTCCATGAGAGGGAGGGCCAGTTGGATCGGTGGGTCCCGGTGAGAAGTTTTCCATGAGCGGAGGGCCAGTCGGATCGGCCGGTTTCGCCGGCCAGTCGGATCGGATGGTTTCGCCAGCCAGTCGTATCGGCCGGCTTTGCCGACCGATCCTCCTTCCGCGTGTGAAGTGGGTCCCGGTGTGAAGGTTTTCATGAATTGGGAGGGCCAGTCGGATCGTTGATTCCCGGTGAGAAGTTTTAAATGAGAGGGAGGGCCAGTCGGATCGGAGGGTCCCGGTGAGAAGTCTTCCATGTGAAGGAGGGCCAGTCGTATCGGTGGGTCCCGGTGAGAAGTCTTCCATGTGAAGGAGGGCCAGTCGTATCGGTGGGTCCCGGTGAGAAGTTTTCCATGTGAAGGAGGGCCAGTCGGATCACCCAGCTTACCTTCTGAGGACCACCTCCTACCTTTGCTGCGACCTGCGCTTTGAACCTCGCGACTATCTTGTACTAGGCCCTGTTATCTTATCTTATCTTATCAGCTCTGTTCACTTTTTTCGACGCTCCCCAATTCCATGGGAAACATCTGGGCTGACATTCTAACTAGCGATTCATTAGGTGGATTATGTATTGTTTTGATTTGGGAAGTGCTACAAACAGAATGATAAATGTTATCCTTTCAAAATCTGGAATGGATTGCAGTGGGGAGAGAGGGGTAGGTTCATTCTAGTCAGCACAGCCGTGCGGTAAGTGTATATTCTTCGATTCTTCTTCGAAGTGGGTCCCGCTGAAAAGTTTTCCATGAGGAGGGCCAGTCGGATCGGCCGGTTTCGCCGGCCAGTCTTATTGGCCGGTTTCGCCGGCCAGTCGGATCGGCCGGCTTCGCCGGCCGATCCTCCTTCCGCGTGTGAAGTGGGTCCCGGTGAGAAGTTTTCCATGAGTGGGAGGGCCAGTCGGATCGTTGATTCCCGGTGAGAAGTTTTCCATGAGAGGGAGGGCCAGTGGGATCGGTGGGACCCGGTGAGAAGTTTTCCCTGAGAGGGAGGGCCAGTGGGATCGGTGGGTCCCGGTGAGAAGTTTTCCCTGAGAGGGAGGGCCAGTCGGATCGTGGGTCCCGGTGAGAAGTTTTCCATGAGAGGGAGGGCCAGTCGGATCGTGGGTCCCGGTGAGAAGTTTTCCATGAGAGGGAGGGCCAGTCGGATCGGCCGGCTTCGCCGGCCGATCCTCCTTCCGCGGTGTGAAGTGGGTCCCGGTGAGAAGTTTTCCATGAGAGGGAGGGCCAGTCGGATCGGTGGGTCCCGGTGAGAAGTTTTCCATGTGAAGGAGGGCCAGTCGGATCGGTGGGTCCCGGTGAGAAGTTTTCCCTGAGAGGAGGGCCAGTGGATCGGTGTGAAACGGTGAGAAGTTTTCAATGTGAAGGAGGCCAGCGATCGGAGAGTCCCCGGTGAGAAGATTTACCATGAAAGGGAGGGCCAGTCGGATCGGCCAGCTTTGCCGACCGATCCTCCTTCCGCGTGTGAAGTGGGTCCCGGTGAGAAGTTTTAAATGAGAGGGAGGGCCAGTCGGGTAGGTGGGTCCCGGTGAGAGTTTTCCATGTGAAGGAGGGCCAGTGTTATCGGTCGGGCCCGGGCTCGGGAATTACAGTCATCATTCAAGGGTTTTAGGCGCTAATTAGGTGGGGTTTTGGAAAGGCGAAAGAAGCAGCTACTCGTGTCTCGTTTTTTGATAGGCAGATCATAAAAAAATCATCATCATTCAGTTATCAAAATTAAGATTAGGTATGATCGTGCACGGTATGCCGGGACGCCCTCCTGTAATGCGGCATAGATGTATCGTTCTTGAACTTGATGGAACGCCATTAAAATGATTTTTTTGTGGTTACCATTACGACGGGGCGCACACTGCTCCTTTTTTCTTCTAATTCTCTCAAGATGGACCGCTACTCGAACGATGCTGTCGACATTGCTTTACATCCTACCACTTTTGGAGACCCGCTACCAATCTCTTTGATAATGTTTTTAGTTATAAATTGTCAGTTTTCTTTTGGACTTGTAGAAACGTCTCCTCTTTCCTCTATCGATGTTCCTGAAACGTAATTGTTTTGTGTCCAACTCTTATAGCGAACGCTGTGGCAGGACTAAACTGTCATGATCCCTACGAAGGATGGGGCGCCTCAGGGTGTATGTCTTTGAACGTGAGTGCAGTCAGATCAGATTGCCGTGTGGTAGTGGACTACCATTGGTAGTAAAAAAGCGCCCTGGCTGCACTCCAGTACGCGCCGAGTCGCACGTGCTATCTCTTGCATTGATCATGACTAATGGATTTATTTTGAGGTATGTCAACTGATAAGCCGTGGTCGTACGACACAAACTCTTTAACTTTACAACGCTATCTATTAGCGGAACAAAGCCTATACCCAAAGGCAAGCGGCGAATTAACAAAACTTATAACATCCCTACTGATAGGATTCAAGGTAATTTTCTGAACTCTCCAGATTGAAGTGTTACTCACCCTTTTTTAACTCTGGAAAGGGTCCTAAATAGATAGCTGACTAGAGTTGATTCCGCTCAGCGTGATTTTAGCACAATTGACTGGAACCGTTAACAGTTACAAGGTTGTTGATAGGGGCAAAGTAGACCAAGAACGGTGTTATTGGATTTTCATTTTTTATTTCAGTCTATTTCGAGTGTGGTACGTAGAAACGGTTTCTTAAATCTTCATGACATTACAGCGAAGACCAATCAAGTAGAGGAGGTTTCACAACAAATTTCACTGTTTATAGCCATCGGAAGTTCAAATAACATTTGATTAATTTAGGCCAAAAATCTGGACGTTCTTAGTAATGAGATTCTTATTAACATAATAACATCGTCATTGGCTTGTGGGGGGATGATTTCACAAAAGGATGATGCCGTGAGTGATTTCCTTTGAGGCAGTTGTAATTCTATGTGAACGCTGAAAACTAAAACGGAACAACTGAATTGGAACGACCTATTGCAAAGGTATTCCGTGGAACGCGAGACCTCAGGGGTGGCGAGCATTAGAGTTTCAAGGGGCGATGAGGGTAAAAACGCAACGTGGTTCGACAGCCGGTGCAGACTTTGCGATCGCGCTATCAGATCGCTCGAATTGATCGCGCGATCGAGTGGAGTCATCCGATTGCGTTTGGGGACGCTCCACCGCCAATCGGTGGACCGTCCTAAACATTTTGAACTAATACGACTGTATGAGAAATATAAGGAAGCACAACATTCCCAGAGTTAACACACTTTCCAAAACGTTCAGAAAATGCAAGATATGCGTGTATAGAAAGATATAACAAGAACACAGCACTACATGAACGCGGCACATTTTGAAATCTGCCGTTTTCCACTCGACGCCTATTACTCCTCCCTTTTAACTATCCTCAGTTCCAGCTAATGAGGAAATCTTCTCAGTGGGAGGACTAGCCTTTGAATAAAGTGTGTGTAATCGTATGTGGCTTTCACAGTTGCTGGTTCGGGCACAGAAGGATACAGCTTATGCATGGGCTGACGCACACGGCGTGAGAATTACCATGCACGTTTAACCCGTTTTTACCTGGACTGGCACTGTCTACCGCCATCACAACAGTTCTGTGTACCCGCGCTTTCATCACCAAGATGTGCACCATAAGTTCATTCAAATAAGCAGAAACTGTAGCTCGTGATCAGGGAACGCTCCCGGTACCCATGACACCACCCACTAAGTGCTAGATCGATCCCACGGGTACTAATGGTATCTTTTTCCGTTCCCCTCATTTAACACTGTTCTTTGAACTTGTTAGTGATAACGATTATGACTGATGTAATTCAGGTGGTTAAAGTTGATGAAATAAAAACGGGAAATTATATACTTTGTTTCGACCCGCTAAACGGATCCTCGGATATTGATTGTATGCTACCTATGGGTAAGTTACTCGCTTCCATAAATACAAACTAGTAGTGGTGAATTGAATCAGTAATGGATCCGCTCTTTTCATGTCTTCATGTGGTTTCTCTTTTAGCTTCGATTTTTGGTATTTGGAGAAAGCGAACCGAAGGCATGACCCCCGCCACAAAAGAGGATTTCATTCAACCGGGAAGGTGAGCAAGGCAATCCAACATACTGTCAGTAATGTGATTTTGTACACCTCAGGTGGCTGGTGGCTGCCGGTTATTGTATCTACGGGTCTGCCACAATGGTGATCATTTCCACAGGGAGCGGCGTAGACGGATTCACACTTGATGCGGTAAGTTTTTCTTCAAGTTGCTTCACTTCTCTACTTAAAGGCAGTGGGCACGATGGCTGGGGGCGGGAATCAGTGCCACAGTCATTGGTGGTAGGTCTGCGAGATGCATTCGACACCCCCCCCCCGCTCAGCCATTCCACCACTAAGGTTGGCTGACCGCTCTCCGTAAGCGGTCATGCCTACTGCTCTTAAAGGCAGTTGGCACGATAAATCTCTAAGAAGAGTAGGACTGATACCGCCTGGCAGGACAGGATTCCGCGACCCTAAGCAGGTGCTGCGTAGCGCCTTTTCTGAGGGAGGCACACTTAGAAGGGCCCTATCGAGCTACAACATACCGACCCGAACGCCCACCACGCCCGCCCGCCCACAAATGGACGACCGTACCTGACGCTCGTATTGCTTTATTTGCAAAGTAAAATATGAAGCGAAGGGATTGGTATGAAGCGGCTGCGGTGCTGCATGGATATATGAGAACATACATGCAGCCGTACCCACCGTAGCGGTTATTGGCAAGATGTCTACGGAAAACTCGTCCGAAATTGTCATTAAGAACGAAGGTTTTTCTTCGCAGGTTTTTGACCGTTTCACTTCGTTTTTTCGCCATTTTCCCACTATATGGCGCCCTGCTAGCATTTTAGGCCAATTAACAAAATATCGTGCCAACAGCCTTTAAGATC